GCTCATGGTCACCCTGTCGTCCACCAGCACACCCAGGTCCCTCTCCGCAGAGCTGCTCTCCAGCAGCTCCACCCCAAGCCTGTACGGTTTGCATCGTGTCCGTCGCTGAGTGGCCTGGAGAGTGACAACCTCCCAGGGACCGGGCTCGGGGGGGCCTGGGTCCCGTCCCCAGCAGGTGCCAGAGCAAAGCCACAGCCCCCAGCTGCCTGCACGGCTGTCCCCAAATTGCCAGGGGAGAAGAGACCCCTGTGCACCCCCTCTTACTGGCGGTGCCGAGGCAGGGGGCAGCTCTCTCGCAGCCGTGAGACAAGTCCTGCCGCCCTGCTTTTGTTGCCCGTGGTCGTGGCCTCACCTGCATCCGTGTCTTTTAAGGTGCTGTCCAAGTACAGGAGCGGGAAACTCCCCAAGGCGTTTAAGATCATTCCTGCCTTGTCCAACTGGGAGCATATCCTCTACATCACAGAGCCGGAGACGTGGACAGCAGCTGCCATGTACCAGGCCACCAGGTAAGATCAGCTCTGGGAGCTGCTCACGGGGGATGGTGTAGCTTTTTCTTCCCAGAACTGGAACCAGATTTACAAAACGCCGACCCGTCTCCTGCTCGGCCTCTGTCTCCACACCTCACTTTCTGCTTTGCTTTTCCCAGGATATTTTCGTCCAACCTGAAGGAGAGGATGGCCCAGCGGTTCTACAACCTGGTGCTGCTGCCGCGGGTCAGGGATGACATCGCCGAGTACAAGCGCCTCAACTTTCACCTCTACATGGCTTTGAAGAAGGCTCTGTTCAAGCCGGCGGCCTGGTTCAAAGGTGGGGGGGGCCTGCCGGTCCTGCCTGGGAGCCTCTCGCTGTCCGGGAAGCTTGGGGGGGGCACGTGTTGCGTGACGGCGTGCTGTCCCCTGCGTGGCGTGGCCCTGGGGGCTCGGTGGGGAGGAGGAGGATGGAAGAAGATGTGGAAGAGATGCTGGGAGTCCCCCTCATTGGAGGAGGCGGCTCCCAAAGCCCCAGGGGCCCGTTTGTGGTGTTCAGGGCAGAAGGGTGATGAGTGCCGTAGGCTTACATGGGTGCTGGCAGCGAGTGCTGGCGGGGGGTTGGGTGCTTTTTGGGGGTGCTGGGGGGGTTCGGG